CTTGAACAATGCTTCAGTGCTACATAACTTGTAACAATCTACCTGCCAGTGGGTGCGACATGCTTGTAGAAATGTAACCAGCTGAAGTACTTTTGGTTCCCAGCTTCAGACACCTCCACTTGAGCAGAATATTCTAAAGCATTTATCACTTTTTCATGTATTGTGCATGTGCAGTAGGCTGTCTCTCATCAGCAGATTAATCAGCGTTATGAGATGCTATTCTTGCTCTGATAGACAAGTATCACCCAAAGCAAGTGATACTTCACATTAGCAATGGCCATCCTTCACCCTGCCCCCTGATTAGCCTATAATCAGCAGTGCCAGGACCCTGCAGCCTCTTCGTCTGGCCGCTACCTCTCCCAACGAAACAGATTCAAGGCTCCACGCTGTCGCTGACGCACGAAGCAGTGTGTTCTTTGAGAGCGTTCCTCGCTTTAAAACAAAACGAGTGTGAAATGTGTATCTTTGGGGAAGCAGAAGGGCAGAGGTCAGGGCTGGCTTCAGGGGCGATGGTCTGTGGATGACCTCCACCTCTGAACTCTCTGGAAGGCAGACAGTTTCCCTGCAGGGATCTGTAACATAGTTCTCTGCTTCATCCCAGTTTTTACAAATCACATGTACTTTATGTATGGCCATCTTCCAAAGCATGTCATAGTGTCAAATTTGGAATGTCTTTCTACTTTGTTTCCATTCATGTTGCTATGGTGTGAAAATCAGTTTGTACAGACAGCAACCTTGCAGTGGCCTGTCTGTTAACAAGCATTTCAAATGAATCTGCATAAGCTCACATAAAAGCAGACATGATGTTCTCTGCAATGGAACTCAAATTTACATTTTCAGATTTTTATACTTAATTCAAGTTATACAGTGAAATGAATGGTAATCAGTGGTTAGGTGGAAGGTAGGAAAACATACTTGAGCTGCTCTCATTGGCTGTGAAGACGACTTGTCCGTAGCAGGAAACAATGGGTCGCCTGAGGTGAGAAATAGTCAGCACAGTAACAGAATCTTGATCCATATTTGATCAGCACTGCCTAGTTTGACAGTTTGATCTGAGTTTGGTGCGTTGAGCTGGACGGACTCACAGAA